ATATAGTTTTTAAGGGGGCTGGAGAGATAGCTGATTAAGAGCCCTGGCTGCTCTTCCAGAGGACCCAGGTTTAGTTCCCAGCATCCACATGACAGCTAACAACTGTCTATAACTCCAGTTTCAGAGAATCTGACACCCTCTTCTGTCCTCCATGGGCATTGCACACCACAAGTGCATTTACATACATGCAAGCAAAACATTCATGCACATAAAGGAATAAATTGTTTTTTTAAAAACCAAAAGACACAGTAGAAACAAAAAAACCCAATAAAATAAAATAAAAAATGCTACTAAATACATAGAGGGAAGTAGGGAGGGGAGGACACAGGGCAAAAAAGAGAAAAAAGGAAAAGATTACTGAGAACAACGCATAAACAATTAGATGATTGTATGATGGGCAATAAAAATAAATAAGCAGGAGCTGGAAAGATTGCTCAGCAGTTCAGAGCGTGTCCTACTTCTGCAGTGAACTCAGTTTGCTTTCCAGTACCCAGTACTCATGTCAGGTGGGTCACAACATCCTAAAACTCCAGCTCCAGGGGATCTGATGCCACCTTCTGGCCTCTGCAGGCACCAGCACTCCTGTGCACATACTCACATGCAGACACACACATACACACACACACACACACACACACACACACACACAGAGGTAAGTTTAAATAACTTTTAAATATATAAGCATATTTTAAAATATAATTAAAGTAAAACTGGTGCTGAACGTATCATTGAAAGAAGGGAACTAAGAAGATAGCTCAGTGCATAAAGTCCTTGCCACATAAACCTGAGGACGTGAATTTGATCCCCAGAACCCACATAAACCCCTCTTCAGGGCTGAAGAGGTAGACACAGGCAGATCCCTGGGGCTTGCTGGTCAGGCAGCCTAACCTAATCACCAAGCTCCAAGCTCCAGGCCTAGTTGTAGACTTTGTCTGAAAAATGAAGATGGATGGTTCCTGAATAACACTCAAGACTTACCTCTGGCCTATATGTGCGCATGCGCGCGCGCGCACACACACACACACACACACACACACACACACACACAGGCACACACAAGGAAGAATAAAAGGTAAAAAATGTCAAGTTTTGAAGCAACTTTTTTCTGGGTCTTTGAAAATTAGAGAACTGAGAATATAGCCCAGGGGTAGAGTCCTAGCCTAGTACGGGTGAGAACCTAAGTAAAATCCCTAACACCAAATTTAAAAAAGAGGAGGAGGAGGAAGAGGAGTGTCCAAGGAGGCCAGAGAGGGCATCAGATTACCCAGAGCCGCAGTTATAAGGCGTTTTGAGCACCCCAACATGGGTGCTGGGAACTTCAGTCCTCAGCATGAGCAGCAAGCACCCTTCATCACTGATCCATCTCTCCAGCTTCCTTAATTTAATTTTTAATTGACCAATTCAAGTCATATATACAGTACACAACCCAATGTTTTGAGATTTGCATGTATATTATAGAATGAATAAACCAAGATAATATGTATATTGCCTCATACAATTTTTGTGGAAGTAACATTTTAAAATTTGCTCTTAGCAATTTTCAGGTATACAACATTTATAGCCACTCTGCTGTATAACAGAACTTGACTATATTCCTCCTGTGCAACTGAAATTTTTATCCTTTGGTCAGTATCTCCGCAGTATGTCCCCACCCTTCAGACTCTGATAATCATCTCTCCACTCTCTTCCTCTATGACCTCTATAAAGAGTGTGTCTTCCATAAGATGATGCAGCACCAGTAACACATGGCAATAAGCCTTTAGACACAAAGATGCTGAACTATTATAATTAGAATGCACTTTTCTTTCTTTGTGAATGGGCTGGTTCTTTATACTTCATTGTTACCCTTTGCTTTCTAGATGAGTCCTAAAGCAATCCTAGGAAAGAAAGCCCCCTTCTTGCTTTAATTTGGGACTTGAATAAAAGTGACTGTCCAAGTCATCTGCAGGTCACACAGCACAGTTTGTTTTCTACTCTCTGAGCCACTTAATGCATGTCTCTGTCTTTTGCAAAGTCCACTATAGCAATGCCTTCCTCTTTAGTGGAATGGTAAGAATGTGGTATTATTGTTACGTGACCTCCTGCCCACTCTAATACAGTAATTACCTCTTGTTCCCTCACTGCAGTACACAGGAGGACTAGGCATGTGCTCCTTCATTTGTAACAGAAATCTGAAGATAAAATTTGGCTAGCCCTTGAAGCTTTTTCTTTTCATAGCTAGACAGGCTAAGGGCCAACTTGTTGCACAAAATGTGACTTGCAGACATAAGTTAAAAGGGACTTCAGAAACAATTTAGGCCAATAACCCAATTTGTGCAAGAATCTTTTCTCAAACACATTAAGTGAAAGGGAGAGTAAATTTATACTTACTCTTAAATACTTCCCAGTGACTAATTTCTTACCTCACTTATGTGAATGCTCTTTAAAGTGTCAACAATATTAATTTGAGAACTCTGCTTGTGTTCTCCAATAAATATATAATTATTTTTAATGAAATAAGCTTATGCTATCCTGATGCTTTATTTTGGTGTTCCATCAGGGAGAAGGGTACTTTTAACACCAACACAATAATTTCCTGCCTTGACTTCTTGTGATTTCTTCACTGCATGGATGAGCTCAAAGGAGAAGCAGTAGCCTCACCCTGTACCTCTGTCCTCCCTTTCAAGCTCTTTGTTCTGAAGATGAAATTCTACAAGCCCTTTGAGTGTCTAAACTGGAGAAACTCTACTCCCTATTCTGAAAAGTGACGAAAAAGAATAATTTCTTTTGTTTGCAAAAAGGAAGATAGACAAAAACATTTGTTCATCTCTAATTTTTTCTATTTCCTTGCTAGGCATTTTCGTATTGCTAGTGGGTTATTTTGTTCTCAAAATTATCTTGACTTCAATAGCCAACTACATCATGTTCATATTTACATAAGAAATTTGTTTACATGTTATCTGGTGACATAAAGGGATCCATTCATCTACATGATGGATCCATCCAAATCAAAGCTCTAGGAAATTGGGTTTTCTGGGGGTATCATTTCTCTGTTTTACTTGGCAATGTGCCTGGCAGAAAAGAGCTCTAAATTTGGCATCTGTCATCACCTATCTTAGTCCAAATTATACCATGCTAAATATCACGAAGAATACTGCACAGGGGAAATCAGCAGTGGTTACAAGAGTGGTAGACATCATATTGCCATGTGCTTGTGTGTGGCTATTAGAGCTGTTAACCAGATGCTTCCTGTAGACATCCAGAAAGGCAGAAAGTTCAGTGCTCCTGGGACCCAGGGACTCTGAGTGAAGCATGCAGAAGGCCGATAAATCATGGGGCACATTCATTTCACTTGGCCCATGCGATCCCAACAACCTCACTGTGGGGAACCAGGCTCTACACCAGGACTCCCTCCCTTCTGTACTGGATGCCTTCAAGGTACCGCCCATCTAGACCAGACCCTGCAGTCATTTCACACACTCCCCTAGTAGCATGCTCAGGGGCCGTATGTATTTTCATGTTTTTGCTATTTATCCCTCCCTGCTTGAATCTCGCGGATAATTGATGATGTTTCCTTTAATCATCTTTCTCTTTCATTCACCAGGTACCTCAGCCTTCCAGGGGCTCCTTTAATGTCTTCTTCTAGGTAACTGATCACCATAGACCCAGGGACACTCAATTCATCCTGGAGGGTGGTTAATCATCATGAATAATCAAGACACTGTGGTCGCGCTACTGCAAGAGTGCAAGCAAGTACTAGACCATCTCTTGTTGGAGACACCAGATGTGTCCTCAAAGGACAAGAGCGAGGACCAGAGATGCAGAGGTGAGGTTCTGATGGGAGACACCAGGGGTGAGCCAGCAGGTTCACTCCCTGTACCCCTGCCCAAATGACATGTTCTCCTCTCTGCCCTATTTCTCTTATGCTGGCAGATGACCAATGAGAGATGAGTGGATTTCCAGGGCATGAATGAGACTGGCTGCAGGCAGACAGGCAGGGAGGAAGCTTACTTTGTTGCAGAGAATTGCTGTCGGTTCTCATTTTAGGCTTCAGTAAACATGAGGCTACAAGAAACAGTTTGGTTCAGGAAGAACAAAGGGTTCAAGTTGGCTGGCGCACATAAAGTTCAATTATTAAAAAATTGAAGCAAGTTCTGAATGGTGGCACATACTTTTTCTCAAACGAGGATTTTTTGCCTCATCAATTTCCATAGACATCCCTGGTTTCCATAAATATGTCAGGTCACCAGTCCAGTCTCTGTTTTTGTGGTCACCAATACACTCCTTATGCCATATGTAAAATAATTTGTTGGGGCTGGAGAGATGGCTCAGTGGTTAAGAACACTGGTTGTTCTTGCAGAAGACCTGGGTTCGAATCCCAACACCCACGTGGCAGCTAACAACTGTCCATAACTCCAGTCCCAGGGGATCCAACAGCTTCTTCTGACCTCTGCAGGCATTGCACAACATGGGTGCACTTACATACATGTAGACAATTACACCGATGTACATAAAATTAAAATAATAAATAAAAAAATAATAATTTGTTGGTCTCAAAGACTGTTTACATCATAATCCAAGTTTAAGGGTCTGGCTTTTTGCCCACTTCCTGGTTTGTGCTCTTTATGATTATAGATAGGTCATTGCTTGGTAAGTTTCAATCACAAAGTCTGGAAGGCTGCAAACAATTCCTGTTTCTTCTTGGAGAGAAGCCCTCTTTATTTAGCTTCTTTTTAATCATTTAAATAATTGCCTTCCATGTCTTTAATATGCTCTTCGTATGTGCTTTGAATATGTTTTCCTAGGTATTTTTAGTGCTTTAGTATTTCATTTAAAATTAAGATTCCCAAGTGAAAATGCACACTCCAAGTCCCTCGCAGTCCTCCAGAATGGGAAGGTTTTGGAAGGGGCTTTTCCCAAGGTGTTATATGTGTTAGGGAAAGAGGAATTTACTGCTTGTAACCAATTAACTCAGCTAGAGACACAGGCATCCGGAGATAGGGGCAAGTTGTCTGGTCTGTGTCATGTCTGTAGGCATGTCTGCTTACACAAGATAACATAAAAGAGTCGTACCAGGCACATACCAACGATCTCTCCCCGATTGAGACCCCTGAAGGGAGTTGTAACATTTTTCTTGTTTTAAAGTTATTGGTTTGTGAAATGCTTGCTTTGAAACTATTGGCTGTATAAACGTGGGCTTTTGTGTAATGGTTGTGGGAGCCTATATAATCTTTACCTAAAATTGCCTCAGGGTCGATCACTCTGACCAGACCTGCGTGTTTTGGGAAGGACGGTTGGCCCTAGCTAGCTGGTTTAATAAAACTCTGCTTGATTCTTGCATCTCCATACTCATGCATTGTTCTCCAGAAGAGACCCACTGAGTCACGGACCCTAACAATATGCAGGCATATACATTTCCATAGGACCACCTTTAAGTGCATATGGCATTCTCAACTATCTGTCACTTGTCATTTTTTTCCTCCTTTCTGAGTAAAACCCCGTACACGCAGTTAATACTCAAACCTTGGTGTGTGTTTCCTTTGTTCACTAGTTAGACCCACCAGTGTGTGACTCTGCTTGCTGGCTGCATGTGCTGGTCAGCCTGAGATCACTATCTTTGAGTGTGAGTACCTGGTCTGAACCAACTGCAGGTTCCAGGCCCCTGGAGAATAAGCAATAACTGGCTCTCTTTCTCCAGGGCAGAACATTGGCTTGGGTTGTTTTTCTTGTTTCTCTTGAATTTTTCCTCCCACACAGGGTCACTTGCCATGGCAGGGCAACTCTGGCACAATGTGCCTCACTCTTTCTTCTTCCTCTTCCAACCCCACCCTCTCCTTCATCCTTGTTCCTGCCTGGCTAGCTACTGCCAGCAGCTACCCAGGAGATGCTCAAGTACCTGAAACATGGTTTTTAAAGCCACATTTTAGTAGTATCTTGTCTTTTAGTGTGCGCTGCTGGGCACATGGTTTGGCATGATCTAAAGTGGAAACGGTTGTGGAGGAAGCAAAAATGATTTTTAAAGAGTAAGCTTTCTCTAGGAGGAGCATGATGGCTCGGGCCTGTCATCCCAGCATGGAAGGATTAAAAGTTTGAGGCCGGTATGTCTCAATAATACTAAGAAGGTGAAAGCACCTGCATTCTCCAGTGTTATGAAGAAATTTTAAAATATTATCCTGTCCAAAACAAAGTATGATGTTCTTATGAACCCATAAATGTCATTTCCATCATCAAGGGGCTATCCACATTCTCTCATAGTGTCTGAATAATTTGCAGTCAAATTGGGACACTAGTACAGAAAGGGCCTGTCAGTCAGTCTGCTTCACGCACACAGGCCTTTCCTACCCAAACAGTACTAAATGATCGTCTCACTCACGACATTTAGAAGCTCTTTTGAAGAATTTATATTGGGAACATTTTTTTTAGAACCTGAAAGTCTGTCACTATCAGTAAGAGTCCAGATTTTACAGCCAAGTGTGACCACATAGATCCCCATGTCTAGAGCTCTGTTTCCATGAGGATGCTCTTGCATCCAGCAGCTGTGGAAAGTTGTCCTTTCAGTGGGGGGCACTCTAGAGTCTTCCCCAGTAGTCAGCTGGTGTGGGCCACATTCTATCATCCCAACAGCAAGCTGGTCTTCCCGGCCCGAACTCTTCCACACCTTTGCACAGCTGGTGGCAAATTCACAAAAGGATATCCATAACCAAGACAATGAGGTTTTCTTCTGTCTGTTCCTTTTGTTTTTGTTTGTCTTGTAGACATAATGCTAGCTTGGTCTTTTAACCACAATAGTGTGTTACCATTGCGATGTGATTTACAAAAGGGACCAGAAGCTCAGGAAGCTCATAGCCCAGGGAGACAGGGAGTTGTAGTTATAGAACAATGGGACTAAGCGGAAAGGACTGTGCACCGCTTCTGCTTGGCTTGCTTGAAGGGGCCCCTCAGTCCTACTCTAAAGTCAAGGTGGACTGACAGGAAATGGGAATTTTTGCATTGAATGCTGAAGGCAGTGGGCCTGAGTTTGGTTATCAAAGCATGGGGGGAGTGGCAGGGAGCAATTACAAACAGTCAGAACAAGATGTGCAAAACTGAAGAATTTTATGGCAGCCAGGCATGGTACACACACCTTTAATCCCAGCACACAATGGAGGCAGAGGCAGGCAGATCTCTGGGAGATCCAGTGAGCTCCAGGCCAGCTGTGGCTACAGGGAGACCCTGCCTCAAAAAGACCAAAAAAACAAAAGAAAGAAAGAAAGAAAGAAAGAAAGAAAGGAAGGAAGGAAGGAAGGAAGGAAGGAAGGAAGGAAGGAAGGAGGAGGGAGGGAGGAAAGAAGAAAGAAGCGGCAGGGGAGGAGCCCTGGAGAGATGGCGGCAGGGGAGGAGCCCTGGAGAGATGGCGGCAGGGGAGGAGCCCTGGAGAGATGGCGGCAGGGGAGGAGCCCTGGAGAGATGGCGGCAGGGGAGGAGCCCTGGAGAGATGGCGGCAGGGGAGGAGCCCTGGAGAGATGGCGGCAGGGGAGGAGCCCTGGAGAGATGGCGGCAGGGGAGGAGCCCTGGAGAGATGGCGGCAGGGGAGGAGCCCTGGAGAGATGGCGGCAGGGGAGGAGCCCTGGAGAGATGGCGGCAGGGGAGGAGCCCTGGAGAGATGGCTCCAGCGACTATGAGATGGCTTTTGCAGTGAACTAGGGTTCGGTTCCCAGCATATGGCAGCTCACAACCATCTGTGACTCCAGTTGAAGGGGGTCCAACACCCTCTTCTGGCCTCCTCAGGTGCCAGACATGCACAGGTGTACATACATACATACAGGCAAACTCATATATGTAAAATCAAAATAAACATCTTTCTAAAAAGATGTATCAATAATGAAGAAGACGGAGTAGATGGAAGGGAGGACAGGAGGGGAGGACATGAGTTTTAGAACATATAGCATTTGATAGTTAACTAGATTCAGGGAGGGAGAGAGCATACATCTAGAATGATTGGACTTCAAATTCATCAAAATAACATGGGTTGAGTAGATTTAGAAAACAGCTGACAAATTATGTTTTGTATGTGCTGAGTGTGAGACACCCACAAAGCAAATATGGTGAGATTTCAAGCTCACAGTCATATGCACAGGTCCAGAATTCCTTGTTCAGAACCCCAGTGGCCACACATCCTTCAAAATTCAGACTGTTTGGAGTATTAGGAAGGTCCTTTGAAAATACATACCAAGCAGAGGTAAGAAGCTCCAAAGAAGTTCTTGCTGCAAAATCCTTGGATAATCTCACCAAGCAGGGTAGTCACGACTGTCAGTGCCCTACTCAATTCAAATGTGGTTTGGATATCAACCCCAGAAAACACTTTCAGTTTCCAGATCTCTTTGTGCTTCTGAAATTTGGACAGGAGACAGGCAGAATAATTAAGGTTGGCGCCCATGGAAAGACTTAACACAATTACTTAATGTGAAACAGGGCCAGTTCTCGGTTCCTTGGTGTCACTGCAAATCTCATTTGCGTTTGGTACTTTTTTCCTACGTTCAAGCATAGTCCATAGTGAAAGGGTCAGATGAACGAGGTCTTAAAAAAGAAAAAAGATGCTGAACAAATTGATTGCCTCCCCACCTGCCACAGACTCAAAAAGTCATCTATTCCTGTCCCTTTCTCACTTTACAGGGAAAAGAGTATTTCTTTAACACCTTTCTCTGATTCTTCATGCGAGATAGCCACTGAAGTGCTTTACTTCCTGCTAAAGACCTTTCTATATGCCTGACTACCCCAGTTTACCTGTAGGGCACAATAGACTGAGGCCACTTCTGACAGATCGCTCCTTGCTATTATTCTTTGAGGCGGACTCAGCAGCTTAGACCAGCCAGCAAATGATAGGGAAAAGTTTTTTTGCTCTCAGGTACTTCACGGTAACGTGGGAGTTCAACAGCCTTTTCTTTGACTGCAATTTTCTTACCTGAACTCTGACCTTTTCAGCTTCGCTCCCCAGTGAGTTAAGGACCCTGATCCAGGAGGCAAAGGAAATGAAGTGGCCCTTCGTGCCTGAAAAGTGGCAGTACAAACAAGCCGTGAGCCCAGAGGACAAAACAAACCTCCAGGATGTGATTGGTGCCGGGCTGCAGCAGTTACTGGTAGGAAGAGCCATACCACCTGTCCCTCTGACATCCCCTGTAAGTGGTCTGTAAGTGGTCTAAAAGATTAAATTTCTTTGAAGCACAAGATAGCTCCTGCTCTTATGGTCAGCTCTGCCAAATTGACTAATGTGGGGGAAATGGCTATTTAAAAAGCATCATTTCCTGTAAGCTCTTGTGTTCGAAAGCCAAATCTAGTCAATGTGAGGAAGGTCGGAGGGTCCTGTAAAACCTGACAACCTGAAATATTTTCATATTCTTGGTGGGCCAGAGTCGTTTTGATTCTACTATGCCTTGTAGTATTTTTATTTTGAAATGGTACTTTCTAAAAGTTGAGTAGTATAAGAAATAGGAGTTCTCACCACCTCATTCAGCACTACTTGTTGTGGAGGCTACAGATTCTTGCCATTTCCCTTCCGGAGCTGCCTCCTCTCTTGGCTCCTCATGATTAAAGCTGTTCTGGAATCATTAACTCAATGTCATGGCCATGCTTATTCTTCAGTTCTCATATTTGAAACCAATTGAACTGACATGTCCACTCCAGACAAGATGGTGCATCGAGGACAGTGTAGGGTGGTTTTTGTTTTGTTTTGTTTAAAAAAAAAAATAAGAGGACACCAAGCTGGGAGAGTGCAGGCAGCAGGGGTGGATCTAGAAGAGTTAGGGAGAGAAGTGGGAAGTGTATATAACCAAAATGCATTGTATGCATGTATGAAATTCTCAAAGAACTGATCAAATATTCTATTTTTTAAAAAGAGCAGCATAGGAAGTTGGGTAGGCTCAGGACTTGGGCTTAAGCTCTGCTGATGTTGCAAGGCGTGTCACTTTCTTTTTTGGTAGCATTACTTTTATAAAAGTTTCATTTTTTATGTGTATGAGTACTTGCCTGCATGTATGTATGTGCACATCTAGTGCCCACAGAGTCCAGAAGACAGCATCAGATCTCCTTACAGATGGTTGTGAGCTGCCATACTGGTGTGGGAATGAAACCCAGGTCCTCTGCAAGAGCCCTAAGCCTCTTAAGCACTGAGCCATGTCTCCAGCCCCATGCTGCCATTACTTTTTTTTTAATCATTTTTTTTAATTTTTAATAACTACATGATTAGAAGACTTTTTGCCTTTAGTCTCTCAGATATTTGTCAAGGAAATTTACACGTATTTAACTTATATGCATTTTTATCACATAAAAATATATTTGTCACTGGGCATGGTGACACACACCTTTAATCCCAGCACTTAGGAGGCAGAAGCAGGTGTGCTCTGTGGAATGGAGGCCAATCTGGTTTGCATAGCGAGTTCCAGGCCAGCTACAGGGAGACCCTGTCTCAAAAAACAAAGAAATAAATGTATATTATGGTTTTTGTTATATATACTGTTTGTATACATTATATATACAATTACATATATGTGTGAATTTTCACTTTGTTTACAACTCAGGCTAGCCATGAGCTCTCGATCCTCGCTCCTCATTTTCCCAGAGCAAAGATTACAGGTCTGCCAAGAAACTCTAGATAAGTATGGTTGCTATCAGTGGAGTGGAATGAAATAATCCCTATGATTTTATATCTTGGATCACGTGTGTATCAGATCTTATGCATCAAAATAGTTACTACCATTATCACCTTCATTTTACAAACGGCGAAGTTAAAGAAAGATAAACTTGCCCAGGGAAACAGACAGTCCCGCTGCAACCTTTAGCCGCCTCCTCTGTCCTGTTTCAGTTCTCCATCAAGTCTGAGGTGAAAGGCCTGAAGCAGGTGGAAGCTCTGACTATATGCGGCACAGCCAGAGGCTGTGAGCTGTTCACAGAGCTTACTGACAGTCACAGATGGCCGCTCCTAGCCATGTGGGGCCCTCAAGCCCCTGAAATGGCCAGTCTGACTGAAGAACTGAATTTGTATTTCCAGTGACTTTTTATGAATTTATAAATGTATAGAATAACAATAGACACAGTTAGAGTGAGGTCCTTAATATAGGCATACCCAAGCCCATTTTGGGGGAAGTTCTAGAAATAGTCTCATGTGGTAAGGATTTCCACTTCATTGGACAGTACATCTCTAAAGCAGTGGTTTTTACAGCGAGACATCTCCCACCCCAACACTCATACAGCATCACATGGGGACTTGGAAATTCGAAATCTTGCACCCCAGTAAAAAATCATTATGGGATCAAAAACTCCTAGGAGTCAGTCCAGCACTAGGCATCAGACAAGCCCTCCCAGAGATTCCCATAGAGGCTGAAGTTTGAGTTGAGAGCCACTGCTCTGCATAGAAGGAAAGGGAGAGGAGCCACAGCAAAGAGCCGAGAGCTTGGAGAGAGATGCTAGTGCTAACGATGCAAAGTGAAGAGGAAAGAAAAGTCCTGAGTGGAGACTTTGGAGAAAACAGAGAGGTCTTTTTCTCTGTTAGAAGTGCTGCACAGACTGAGGCATTCTGAAGAGCCCACTGCTCCTCACTTGCTGAGAGACCCCTTGTGTGATCAGGCCAAGTGGCAGACAAGAAATCTGTGAGCTGCCCTGGTAGATGAGAACAGAAGACTGGCACAGAAGTGCCTCCTGTTTTAGCCTTCCACCTTGGAACATTTCTGCGGACTTCTGAACATAGGCTGACCAGGATGCAAGACACAACTGGTTCCATCATGCAACCACCCGGTCCTTCTCCCCACATCCAAAACTAGTAGTGGCGTAAGGTGAAAACAGAAGCTGTTGACTTTAAAAGTTCAAGTCTTGCTTTGGATTTGCAATGTGAATTAGGACAAAGGTTTTTCACAGCTATCTGAACTATTTTGAGAGCACATACATAATTTCTGTCACTATACCTCCCTAAGTTGTATGGATTCCACAGTTACAGAAACAGAAGCAGGAAGAATTTGTACCCCTCACAGGGTCACTGGGTAGCGGCTCTAAGAACCAGTCCATTAGGCCTCCTTTAGCCCCTAATGCATTTAATCTGGAAGCTTTCTGAACTCTTTAGCTTACCCAGCAAGCTATAAATTAAGTAACCACACCTCCTCAGACTTTTAGGCTGCTTTCCTATTGTGCCAGACACCAAGTGTGCAATTGCTAAAGCACTCTGTTTGTAAATAGAGAAATATAGCACCCTGTGGGCCAGGCACCCCGTGGGCCAGGCTCTCTTTGACTGCTCACCGCTTCTACAGTCTTAGCTTGTTCAAAGTAAATGCCCGGACTTGTTTTTGTCAAACATACATCAGTTTCAGTACCAGAAATTGATATTTCTTGAAATCAAATGGTCATATTTTAATAATCAGTGACCTGTGATGCTGTGCCTCCATAAGCAGCAGGCAAAGCTTATCTCTTTCCAGTCCTTAGTATTTCTTCTTAGTTTATACCTTAAAATGAATTCTTCCCATAAAACCTCTCTTTCATCTTTAAAATTAGCAATATGCTTAGAATATAAATACTGTGTCTTTCATGTAATTCTACAATTAATTGCATAAAATTAAACAGAAAATGCAGAGAAAGGGGTAAATCACAGGCAACTCTTTCAGTTTCTGAGGTAGTGAAACTAAGATTTACTCAGGATAATGCTCTGTCCAGCTGAGCTTCATGAAGAATATTCTGTGTTTTGTTCCGCTTCTGCTCTCTGCCTCCTGCATGCCCTCCCTCCTCACCCATTCCCCAATCCTTTTTCCTTTGGTGCGTGGCCACAGACATAATTTATGGTAGGGGCCAGCTTCCTTTACCGTCCACACAAAGCTTCCTGGCTTGAGGATTTGTTCCTCCTCTCCCAGAAAAACACCTGCAGGTCCTCCCTGAGAAAACTGGAAAGGTACGAGATTAATGTGGCCGCGGTAGTGGGGCGGGGTTTCCACATTAGCAGGGTTTCCATATTATGCCTCTCCCTGGGTAGATGGGTCTTTTCTGAGATGATACCAATTCTTTATTGCTGAAACATCTGTTGATAACTATAGATGCCCTTGTAAAACAAAACATACCACCGGGTCACAGGCTACAAGGATCTAAAAATCGTACCTCATGCTAGCTTCAGTCTATTCAACAGCACCCCAAGTCCATGGGATATCGCCATTTTTAATGTCTCATCTTGTCATGCAAAACACTTTGTAAACACCGCAATGCCCTGCCCCGTATGGGCTTTGAAGCATTATTTCGTCTTCATCGGTAATTTATACTCCAGCGCCATTGTGCTGTGGGAAAGAGAGGGGGAACCTGTTTTGTTTTCCATTTAATTGTATATCGCCTGACACTTTGGCCTGTATTATTAGTATCAGTCAGAAAAAGGATTTTCTCCCTCTCTTATTTAAAAATGAAATTTCAAGAGAAAGCAAGCGCGCCTTCAGCTCTTTTCATGAAAAACAATGTTTACACGCCGAGAGTGCAAGATGAAAAGCAGGAGTAACTTTTTTCAAGTGCCCGGGAAGGCGCTGCAGTTTTTGAAAGGGAACAGTAAGGCCTTGTGGATCATTCGGCGAAAGCTTTGATGGAGTTTTCAAATCCAGCGCAGGCATTTGGCGGAGGCCTCAGTGAGCTCCGAGGCCGCAGGGCTGAGCCCTGACCGACCGGAAAGCTGCCCGGGGTGGGGGGGTGGGAGGGGGTCCACGTCGCCATGGCGATGCCTCCTTGGGGGTTGTTTCCAGTAACTTTCACTTTTCTAAAAGTTACAGTTTCTACACAATCAAAACAAAATATGAAAATAAAGCTTTAAAAAGGAGAAAAACCGTAGGCTGCTGGTCTATGCCAGTTGGGAAGGGAATTGATTTGGAAGTTCTCTGCAAGGGGTTGGGGTTCGGGGGGGGGGCACTGGGTTCTCCCCACCTGCGTCTCGGAGGGAGGCATTTGCCCTCAGTCGACCCCGCCTTCATCGTGGCGCCCCCTGCAGGAGATGCAGGCCATGCTCATGGTTTAACAACAAAAGCAACCGGAGGCCCTAACGCTGGCTAAGGTGATTCTTTCCGTCCCCCTTGTCGTATTACTGGTAGTCTGTAGCTGATGTGCTATAAAATATTTTTGAAGGATTTGTGCTCCATAAAAGCGGTTGGAAAAGAGACTCCCCCAAAATGTT